TCCCAACATCGACACATCAAGTCCGGTCGTCTCGACGATTGCATTCCTCAGAGCGAATGACTAATTTGCTCTGCTTTCACCGAAGACGCCCGATCGAGCACATCTCCAAGCGAAAGGGATCATCACGGGACTGAGAGACTTGCTGACCGATGCCTTCACGCAAACAGTTCGGCTGTCATGGGCACCCAAGGATCCAGTTTATCTCATGCAGCCTCGGAGTTCTGTCAGGCTCAGAAAGCTCTCGTCACGGGCACACAAAGACCAAACAAGCACAGCGTCTCACCAGAAGTGTAAGTGCACCTGAACGAAAGTGCGCGGCTTCCGCGCTGCTCCTCTCACGGGGCCACCTTTGTGTTCGGATTTGCGCCCACATCATAAACCTGAATCCGAAACCCATGCCATCGGCCACAAACTCAAACAGGTCCTACGCCTTAACACCTACCTGAACATCCGCTATCCTTGAATCCCAGATGCTGTGAAGTCCGTTCTATCAACAGGTACCGACGGCACCCTAAACCCTAAACCCTAAACCGTCCATGCAGCGAATGCCACATGGAACTGTAAAGCCTGCAGAAAGGCAAACCTTGCTAGGAGCCAAACAAGAATTCCAAAGGTCGTGCTGTTCTTGGCAGCAGAATACTGGAGGGGCCCAAAATACTTACCGATACTATTTTGGGGGTTCCTTAATATAAGTAGTATATAATGTGCCCCAAAACCCTATTCTAAGTATTAAGGCCCCTATAGTAACTGCGGCAGCACGCACCCTACGACCTGCTTCTAACCCAAGAGCCTTAAACCATCGCGCCTGCTGCACGAAGTCATTCTGCTGTCCGCAAACGCCGTCAATAACGGGACGAACGCCCTCCGAAGCATCAAATGCCTGAGCTTTGGAGGTGCAGGGTTTAGGATAAGCTTCGCTTCCTTTTTTGCGGTACGTTTATAACTGGGCGGTTCATGTCATAAAGACGGGCCTTGAGAGGAAGTCATCTGCTTGAGCCTGTGCCAGACCCATTTACACCCCTAAACCCCAAACCCTAAATCCAATTACAACCTGTTGGAAAGCTTCTTTGGAAACCTCCCACTGGCTCCCAAGCATCACGACTGGGTTCCCCAGTAGCCCCCTCATGGTGGGGGTACCCTTTTTCCTAGTCTTTGGTCTTAAGCCGGGAACCCAGAGGGGCAAATGGGTACTACTGGGGAACCTAGTCCTATATTACGGACTTTTATGGGGATGCTATCAGACCTCTATACAAAACCCCCAATCCTGAGCTTTGTAGACCCTGATTCCTATACAAAGTATACCATCATACAATAAACCACTATTCTCCCGTATAATGGACTAAATTTAATATTCTACTGTAATATAATATACTATAAACTCCAAGCCCGCGAAACCTGCAGGACCTGGAGCCACACGGCTAAGACATTGGCTGGGTTGTCAACGGTATTAGCGCTTCGCCTTAAGGTAACTATAACCCTAAACCCCAAACCCCAGTTGTTAAGGTACTTATAAAACCAACACTTACCAAGTCCCATGAGCCGCCAAGTAAGCCCCAGGCCCCACACCCATTATTAGGGCGAAAGGCAGAATACTTGTCCCATTTCCTTCAATTGAACCCATCTCAAATAACAACAGCGAGAATTTCAACCCTAAACCCTGAACCCTAAACCGAGCTGCAGGGCAGAAGCACAGGAGGTAGTGAAAGCCTGCAGTGCGATCCTCAGGGATGCGGAACGGGCGTCCAAACCCGAAACCACCTGAAAGCCTTGCAAAGCTCAGGGTTTAGGATTTAGGGTTTGGGGTTTAGGGTTTAGGGTTTAGGGTTTAGGGTCTAGTGTTTAGGGTTTAATCCGAAAACGCCGCACAACATGCAAAGCCCCAAAGCCCAAACTCTTTAACCCACAATTAAAGGAAACTACAGGTGGGGAGTTTAGGTTAAATAGGCTTGCTTCCAGGTATATCGACGTGCTATAAGGCTCCTAAAACGGTAACTACCCTCCTGAAAATGTCCTAGACACAACCCTCAACCCTAAACCCTAAACCCTAGAACTCGAAGGGTTTTCGAAGCCCAGGAAAGCATGGCCCTTCCAGGATTGCCATAAGGGAGTTTCCGAAAGTAAGGGGTACATTATTTTGCGGTCCTTATGATAAGGGTCCTATTATTTAGGGTACTATATTAGGGTCCCCTATTTTCGGAAACCCCCCTAAGGCTTAGGTTAATAGGGTTTAGGGTTTTGGGTTTAGGGTGTCGGGTTTAGGGTTTAGCGTTTAGGGTTTAGCGTTTAGGGAGTTTCGAGGAACCCTCTTAGACAGATGTGGAATCGGAACACAAAACACAGTTCCACGAGTTCCAACTCCAACCCTCAACCCCAAATGCGTAAGCCTTGCCTGCCAAGTCGCAAAGCTTGCCTTAGCCTCGATCCTGCCTACCACCCCGAACTGAACCCAACCATGACATTTGTGGTTTGCCCCCTCACACCCTAAACCCTAAACCCTAAACCTAAAACCCCCAATGGCCAGGCCCCAACACCCAAAAACGCTCGGATACCCAAAACCCTAAACCCCTACTTAAACCCTCAAGAATTAGAGCAAGTTTTGGGTGCATGCTGTATATTTACCATCAAAAGGACGGGAAAGGGGGAATACCTAAACCCTAAACTCTAAAACCCTAAACCCTAAACCTTAAGCCCTAAACCCCTCAGAAGAATCAAAAGCACACCAAAGGGGTCCCTTCGCACTGAGCCGAGATGAATCCGTGAGATCGGATCCACGATCCTGCCGGTTTGGGGTTTCGGGTTTAGGGCTCCCTATTTAGGCTTTCGGGCTTCGGGTATAGAGTTTTGGGGTTTTGAGATTTTAGGGCTCAGGTTGGAAACTCTAAACTGTGGATACTGGAAGGGGTAACTATCGTAAACTAGAACCCTATACGTTCCTTTGGGGGGGGGCGGGAGGGAGAGGCTTGTTGCAAGTTATTTCGGCTTCTGTATTCCTCGCTCCTCTTGTTGGCCCGGCAAACCTGGGCTCTGAACGCACTTAGGATCCTTTTCTGTAAGGGTACCGTACTACTGCTGATAGTATAAATCCTGCACTACCTTAAGGACCCTAAACTGTACCATGCTTCTGTTGGGGTCGACAAGGCACTTGCACCCTCAAGCTGTAGTTCAAAGCTTAGCCCTCGCGTTTCAGGTCCTCATTGAAGACTGTTAAGAAGATTTCTACACGGCTTCACGGCATTTCACCCATGACTTCATGGGTAGATGTAAACAAGGTGCTTCAGCTAAGGCCGTACCCAAACTCAGGTACTCTCATCCGTACCGAACAACGGCTGGATTTGTCCTCGTCTACTGCACCCTAAACCCTAAACCCTAAACCCTAAACCCTAAACCCTAAACCCCTAAACCCTAAACCCCCTTCAAGACTGTGCTGGCTGAGCACCAAAACCTGCACCGAAGACCCGGAAGGAGCCCAGGAAGCTCGAAGCACCTGAGAAGCCCAGAAGCTGAGCCCAGGAAAAAAATCACCCAACCCTAAACCCAAAACAAGGCATGAAGGGTTGATGCTGAGAGTTTTATTTGCTGTCGCAGTCACCGACCAGTACAGAAGGGGTAGGATGACAGAGGGGCGTCATTTTCTTTCGCCTAGTGCAGTGCAAGCCTGAAAGACAGGCCGGGTGCGAGAGTCAAAGGCCCATTGCATTTTAAAAAAACCCCAAAACCCTTAGGGTTTAGGGTTTAGGGTTAACCCCATACAGTCCTTGCCCATTCTCGCTCCTTGTCTCCTGCACTGCTTCAGATTGGCTTGGGCTCGCCTTATAGGGGTCTTAATATAGGGGCCGCTAATTGGAATAGGGGTTTGGGGTACAGTATACTATAACTACAATAAGGAAGCCCCACACTAGTCTTGGCAATTATTCTGGCCCCTACTTTAGGCTGAGATCTGAGTTTCCGGTTTGGGAAAGATGGAAGGCTTTGACTGGCTTGCAAAAGGATGCTGGGCTGGGCCCAAGGTATGTAATTAGTGTAGTAACCTGATCAAGAGCGGGTTCTTTACATGCAACCCGATATCTTGGGGTTATAGAACCAGGGTTTCTTCGTCAGGCTCCTACAGTAACGCGCAAGCCGCAAAGCGGAGCAGTGAAATGAATAAGTGAACAACCTACAGGTTCCCTAGCACAAAAAGTCCAATCCTTTTGCGCCCCAGCGCAGCTGTCGTCTTAAAGACTACCAAGGGCCCTCTTGGGCCGGAAACAGCGAGCATTCTCGCACTCCGAAGGTCAGCTCACCTGAGGGGTTTTACACGACCTCAATGAGAGCTGTTTTCTACAGTGCCCAGCCTTGAGGGCCTGACACAAGTTTTTCAACATCATCACATCTTACTTCGGAGATTCTAGGCTCGACATCGGAAGAGGTACTCCAGGAGGAGGTCGTAATCAGTCCACGAAGACCCGCACTGAGTTGTGGATCTCCTGGTAGCGGCGGTCGATGGGACAGTCGCATGCCAGAACAAAGGCTGCCAGATCGGAAGCCTTGCCACCTTTCGGGTCCTTCGCATCGTGGTAGTAGGTGTTCTTCACCCACTTGATGTACGACATCGCATCCTTGTCGTTCCAGGCGAACTGGAGCAGCTGGAGGTAGCTCCACTTCTTCTCCTTGTACTTCGGCAGGATCAGCAAGGTCTGACCCCATCGTGCCAGAGAAGGGATGCCCCGGGGAAGCTTGCCCACATGTGCCGTCGGAAGGACATACTCCTCGGAGTTCTCCTCAGCTGGGGAGCGCAAGGTGAAGCTTGTATCGGTCTCGGCGTCTGAGGTCATGGTGCCGAAGGTGTCCACGGAGCGGGGAGCCGGGCGACCATAGCCCGCACTATGCGGGGAGGCTGCACACGAAGGTTGATCACGCCCTCCATGTCCAAGACGATAGTCTCCAGAAGCGGTTCCATTCACTGGCGCTGGAGGTGGAGGCCCATTGCGAGCTGGTGCATTCACCGGCGTTGGAATTGGAGGCCCATTGCGCTTGCTGTGGTCGACACCATGCACCAGGAGGTACTCACGGGTGCTCGGAGTGTCGGAGGCCATGCTCGTAGGGCTTTCCACATCTCGGGACCAGTGAATGGAAGACTTAGGGCGTCCCACGTCCTGGTCGCGGCGGATCATCTTGTCCGGACGCTGCACCTCTATCTCCTGGAGGACCTCTGGCACCTGGTTGTTCGCCACCGCGCGGGAGACGAACTGAACCAGTTCATCACGAGCAAGAGGCTCCTGGCGGCTGCGCTGTTGCTTGAGGTTGCGGGCCGTCATGACGAAACCGAGGCCCGGAAGGGATAGCAGGCAGAACTACTCGCAGCCCTTGCTCCTTGGAGAATCTGGCATCGGACACGATTGCTTACCCCTCTGACGCATGCACCGCTGTCTGAGGCAGAGACTCGGTTATCAGTCCCAACGACAGGGTAGGAAGGAAAAACGGGAGAGTCACGTTATCAGACCCAAAGGAAGTCTTACATTACATTATCTAGGTACCACTTGCAGGGTACCAAGCCAGGAGTTTTTCCGGCAACATATCATTAACTTGGCTTTCCTCGCAGAGAGGATACGGTTGCAGGCTACTGTACAATTCTCGGAATGGGTACTCTAGCTGAGGCTCACGACTGCTCATGTACTGGAGAACCCAACATCTCAAGTCACACCCAGGCAGCTCGTGGTCTAGCCTAGTCGGACCCCGCTCCTAACCTACAACGGTTCTCTAGAGGGAGCCCCCTTGGGCGCCTTTGGCAGCTTCTTTCCTGCCGGACTCCTTGCTAGGGCGAACATGGTAACAGCACGTGTCGAGCAGCTTGTACATCACCTCTTTGTTGCCCTTCAACTTGGTCAAGCAATCAGCCACCATCTGTAGGTTGTTAGTCCAGAACGGGAGGACTCCTCTCTCACTCAGGCACGCTCTGGCTATGGCATAATCGATGGCCAGCCGTTTTTCCATAGCCAACGCACTGCTGCAAGCAGATCGGGTGAGGGCGTCATACAAGGATTTGCTGTCAATGACAAGCCCGGACTTATTTTCAGGAACCCATTGCTGGAACAACTTTGGGGTCATGCCATACAAGACTTCTTGCAAGAACGCTTGTGCAAACTCTATTGCATCTAGGCCATTCTGAGCGGCGAGAGTTTCGGCAGCGGTAGAGCTCCTAACTACGCGGCGAAGTTTCTTCGAAGACCACTCTATGATCCAAGTCGGGCCTGGCCTACGCTCTAGCACCTCCTTGTCACACAGGCACAGCACAAGTCCACCTTGGGACTCGCCATTGGCACGAACGCCCCAGCCAGCATCGGTCACAGCCAGCAGTCGCCAGCGCTCAAGAGGGACCACAGGAAACTTGAGGGTGGCACGGCGGGTCTTAAGCTCTCGAACAGCCTTGTTATACAACTCAAGGTGTGCAACCTGGGCCTTATCCTGGGTGCCTTGCAAGTAGGAAGCCAGAAACGCCTGCTCAGGACGACTGTGATTGGCAACCCAGGCCAGCTGGCCACAGCATGCACGCATAAGGGTCGGCTCCGGAAGAGGATTCGACGCCTTGCCGTAGGGCTTCGTGCTCACTTCTTCCATTTTGTCAATGTAGGCCTCTTGACTCACTTCGATGCTGCCATCCTTCAGTTGCCTAATCTCGGCCCCGGTGTACTTGATAGTACCCTTACGGAAATCCCCAAAAGGCAGAGTAGCACGAAGCTTCTCTAGGCAAAGGTCCATGTGGGAAGCCCCCCCACCGAGTAGATCGTCAACATGGACTCCGCAGACTCCGAGCAATGCCTTTGAAGAAACACACCGCAGGATACACACACACGGGTCAAGCTGAGAGACTTCAAGGCCTACAGAGATCAGCTCCCGAGTCAGGCGGAGAAACCATGCACGTGGAGCTTCTGCAAGCCCATAGGCCGCCTTTTCCAGGCGCAGCACATCATCATCACTCAAGTTGAGGAATTCCTTCACTTCATCGGGTGGACGGAAGTACAGGTCACGATTGGAATTGTCCCCGGAAAGGAATGCAGTTTTGATATCGGCACCCCAAATTACCCAGCCCTTGCTCGCACAGATGCTGAGGATGATATGCTTACTCTCCTTTCGGAGAGTCGGACTGTCTGTGGCGATCCTTCCCAGATCAGGGTCTTGAAACCCCACAAGCACTAGCCGGGCCTTGGGTGTAAGGGTGCGGTCATCGGGATCCGAAGATTTCTTCCAGGTCAAAACCCAGCGGGAACCTATGATGCGGCTTTTGGCTATCCCCTTAGACTTAGCTATTGTTGTGACCTTGTTCTCTAGCCAGCTCTGCCATTCCTTCTTCATAGCACCCTTGAAGCGTTCGCGGTCTTTAGGGCCGAGCTTACGGAAGCTGACTTCGACCCTTCGTTTCTGACCTGGGCGGGCTGCCACTACGGCGCACTCGTCTAAGACTGTCCAAAGAGACCCAGGATCATCCACGATGTCAGTTTCAAAAATGTCAAGGGCAATTTCGCAGCACAGATTGTCGGAATCCGGCAGCATCTCTGTGTCTGATCCCAGGGGTGTGTCAGGCACTTGGGGCAGATCCTCCGAAACCCGGGCCTCATCAGTTGGTTCAGGCGGCGGTAAGGAAGGTGAATATTCTGCGAGGTCTTCGGACTCTACGGAAGTACGTGCCAGTTTGGGCACCGGCTGCTCAGGCCCTTCGGTAGGATCATCCCGGAAGCGAACCAGAGGTTCCCCTCGTGGAGATGCACTTGCAGCTCGGGATTGCCAGTACTCGTCGTCTCGAGTAATGCGGCGACGCACATTTCGGTCCGCAGGAGGGTCCGCCTCGCCCTCTTGGTCAGAGGCGGGTGGCGTCAAGAAATCTTGTTCAGTGGGAAGGTCTTGGCTCAAGTCAAAGTATCGCCCGGCAGGGCCCCTCCTTGACGGCGTTACTTGCTCTAATTCTTCCGGGAGGTGTCCGGCGTGAAACTCCTGAGCAATTTGCTTGAACGCAACTTCATCCTCAACCAGGGGGCGAAGACACTCCGGTGAACACTTATACATGAAACCATTGACAACTACCCAGATGACCCTTGGAACGGGGCTCCCTTCACGGAAGCTTTCAGTGCCCACGACGCGCCCCGGGCCGAGCCAGGACCCGTGCCTTGTAGAGAATTGTCCCTTACCCTGCTTCCTAAACACATAGACACTTTGACCTACGACATACGGACCTCGAATCGGCCTGTTCCTTCCTTTGATGGCACGGGACCATGTGGTATGCGCATGTGCCTGCAGGAAGGCCTCTGCAGCCTGCTGGCGTATCTGCATCTTCTTTGCAAAATCAGTCTCGGCATGCACGGCATCCTGAACGGCAGGGTTCTGCTGTTCACTGAGGTCTGCCAACGACCCTGGCACCCGGGGCTCTCTACCTAGGAACCATTGTGCACTAGAGAAACCATGGCGCTTAAGTTGTTCGTTCCGGACACCGCTGCAGCTCTCAATGACCTCCTCCGGGGATCGTTCTGAGGTCCGCCAGACACGCTGGGCCATCATGCGAAGGATTTTCTGAGCTACCTCCACGCGGCCGAGCTGCCAGTGGGACTCCGTGGCACTATCCAGTAAGGTGATTGAATTGCAACGGAGGTATCTCTGAAAATCGTCTGACATCCATCTTTGGTCAGGATCCACGTAGATCACTCGGGGTGGGCCAAAGGGCCGGCACCACACCGCGTGAAAGGCACTGCTGACCGATCGGGGTCCAGGCGGCAGGACTATCTGCTGTGCAAAGTCAGTTGCATAATCTACCACCGTAAGAACCTGAATCTTGCGTTCCTCCACACCACTAGTCCCCTGTCTCTTAAGCTCGACCTGAACAACATCTATACCCACTATGTGATTAGGGGTCTCTGTGTGCTTTAGGGCCGCTACTCTATGGGACGGTGGCACTTGCAGTTCCTCGCAGATCGGACAGCGAAACTTCCGAATTTCCTCAATGACACCGGGAGGTGCCCGAGCACGCTGTGCGAGCCTCAGCATCTGAGGATTAGAGGCGTGGCCGGTGTTCACATGGAGTTTCTGAAGGACCTTACGCGGGCTCGGTGGGGCTCCCCTTCAGGCACCCCGTCTTCTACTTCTGACTCACGCTCTGAGTCTGCCTCTTCGTCGGTTTCAAGAAATATGTCATGCACTGGTGTCACCTCTGCATCGCGACGAGAGAGGCAGGCTGCAACAATGCGGCAAAAGCGGCGCGGCAGAAATTCCACCCCTGCGGGCTGGCGAGCCCCTCCTAGGTGAGCGTGCTCCTGGTGCCCTGGGCACTGGCAGCGCTGAAGGGCCTTTACCATGCGAGGGTCACTAGTTATAACCCTAGTGGGGCGTTTGAGCGGGAGCCGGGTCTGAGGACATCTTAAGTCAACAGCACACATGTGGAAATCTACCTCGAAGACAGGTCCTAGGGACAGCTCTTTCCAAATCTGAGAGGTTGGGGGGTTGATGGCATGTATATGGCCTCCTAAGAGGGTCTGTAGGGACCAGGCTTGCTCAAAGAGTCGGAGAAAAGGCCGCTCACGCAGACGGTGATGGTTGACTTCCTCGGCAACCTTCCCACCCCTACTTAGACACATGCGGGACCACCCTGACCAAGCACCACTAGGCCATGAAAACCAAACATCCTTGGACCTGCAGCGTCCCATCAGCAAGAGCAACAAACGTCGGTCCCGAGCCCTGGTCAAATCATGTCCAAACTCAAGCCCTATCTGAATACTGCTCAGACCACGACGGTGCTCACATTGCTTAGACAGTCGCGCAGTTCCAGCAAATACTTCGATCAAACCAATTTGACTCTCAAGCTTATCCTTTTGAACCCCTAGCCAACCCTTAAGTTCATCTTCAGTTTGCTGGGGCTGCTCTTCAAGGGCAGCTAGGGCCATCTGAAAGGGCACACGGCGCACAGACTCAACCTGTCGGGCTATCTTCTTCCTACTTTCACTAGGCACAGGCAGGTGGCTTAGGGTAACCCAATCTAGTTCATCATACAAGGCTTCAAGGCTCTGCCCGGGGGCTGTGACACCTCCGGCCGTGCCCTCCTCAGCTGATGCGCTGTGGGCGCAGCAATCGCAGACTTCGTGCCCCTGCAGCTCACTGGGCACCTCGGCACAGTCGGGTTCTTGCTGGGATACATCGTTATCAGGTGCACCTAGGGACTTAGGGTCGGGGGATTCCGAAACGCACTCTGGCTCGGATCTCGTAGATGCACGCCCCTCGAGTGAATCACCTGACTGTAAGGCTTGCTTGCATGACTGTGGTTCCGGCTCTTGGTACCGGTATGCGAAGATGCACGCTCCCGGGCGGTCAAAAGCCTCTCGCCTTGCACAGGCGGGACGTGAGTGCCATTCAGTGGTCTCCAGGTCGCCCGACGGAGACAAGTGCACGACAGACTGGAACAGACTACGGGATGCTGCTTGCTTGGGGGTCCTCTCAAATCTAGGACGATAGGCGCACATAGCAAAGTCAACATCACATCCGAATAGCATTCTCAAAGGATACCTGTTAGAACCCACATCAGCCTGCGTATACCGGGTGTGCTTCATCACGGTTTGGAAATGCTTCCGGAGATCGGCAGCCGGAAGCCTGATTTTGCTGGTCTTCTCTGGGGTTTTCTGTAAAGGTTCGGGAGTAGGCTTCAGACTAGGAACCTCGGCAGGGCCTGCGCATTGCACCTGGAAGGCCGCCTCGCCCTCTTCATCTGGAACCAGGGGGAGCAGCAAATGCCCGTTGGCTGCATGAGATAGAGGCTGCTGGTGCATACCATGCTTCTCGCTAGTTATGGTCGAGGCTCCTAAGTCCAGATGGGCATTCATGCCCTGCAGCACCTTGCGGGACAACAGAAAAGGGGCCTGACCTGGGATCACGTACGTGGTCACTTGGCCCCACAGAGCCCCGAGCCTCACAGTCCATCGAAGCCCCTCAGTGGCAACTGATCGGGCCCCATTGAAGCCCCGCAGTTGGACGGGAGCCAGCTGAACTGAAGCCGGCTCAGGAAGGCCACGTTCCTGCCACAGGGCGCGGTATCGATCGGCCGTTTCTCGGCCCACAACTGAAGTCGTGCAACCCGTGTCCACCACTGCCATGCCGGTCGGCACCGAAGCCGAGAGCACCTCGTACTCATCATAGGTGCAGGTCGCCTCCACATTCTCAACCATGTAGGAAAACTCTGAGAGGAGGCTGGTCTGGACCAGGCTCACTTCTTCTTTCCTCCTGCCGCCTCGTCCGCGGCCCTTGTCTTTGTCCCCGCGGCGACCATCCTTGCGATCATAGCGAAAGGTCGGTTGAACGGGAAGTCCTTCGGGGACCGGTGTCGAGCCAGCCGGCAGAGCCACTACCGGCATATATGGCTGGCGTTCCTTCTTGATCTCCCTGACCTTCTTGCGACTGTCGCGGTACGATCTGAAGGCCTTCTTGGCGTCGTTGCGGGCCTTCTTGTGGATCTCGAAGGCCTCTTCCAGCTCCTCGTCCATGTCGCTGCCTGACGCCTCTCCGGCCTCATAGGCCTCCGGGTCAGAGAAAGAAGGCTCACTCAGGCTGCTGCCCTCGTCGGCGGCCATGATCGCGCCACCTGGTCTGGCAGCCCGTTGCTGGTTGCCCCGGTGGCCGCCGTCTCCAAGACGGTCTTCATAGTCCGAGGCACGGATCACCTTCTCGATATCGGTGAACTTGCAGGAGCCGCCGGTCGATCTGATCACCTGGCTTCTTTGCTCCCGCGACAAGCCATACTTTCTCATGAAGAGGTGGCCCAAGATCACCGCCGGAAAGACCGGCTTCAGCTTCAAGTGGCCCACCTCCAAGCGGCCCAGCCGTTCCAGCATACGGCGCTGGGCTCGCTCCTCGTCGCCTTTCTGGGTGCCGCGGCTGTGCTGGGAACCACCCGACGAAGGTGGCCCACGCTTGGGAGACTTCTCGCCCACAAAGCTTCCGACCGTCTTCGGGCCCTTGGTGTCGGTCGCCGTGGGCTGTCTGCCATCCGCAGAAGCCGCCGCAGCTGCATCGACTCGGTCCTTCGTCAAGGCGGGCTCCTCCGAGTCGACCCCAGAGCTTGGGCTCTCATCATCGTCCGTCTGCCTCTGTGGCACACGCGGATCGCGCTTCCTCTTGCTGGCGGTTCGTTCGGCACGCTCCGAAGCGATCAGCGTCTCGAGCCGACTGAGGACTGCCTTGAAGCGCGACACAAAGGCCGTCGGCCCTTCACCCGAGCGCCTCTTCAGGTGGAAGAGGAACTCGTCGACACACTCATTCAACTCCGTCTCCGGCAGGTACTTGTAGTGCTCGTCCAAGGCCTGCAGAACCCGGAGCCAACCATCTTCTGAGCGCAGCTCTGCTATCGAAAGATGCTCCGTGGCCCGCCAGGCTTCCCCAGTCAAACGAGTGAGGATCTTCGGCCCAGCCAGCTTCACATGCTTCTCCTCTAACGAAGCCACGTTCAGCAGAATCTTCCGCCGAAAGAGCCGGTACTCCGAGGGTGCCCCACTGAAAACCAGGTCCCGAAAAGGATCATTCTTTTCAGCCATCGCACTCTCTTCAGACCACGGAGCTCTTCGAAAGTCCCTGGAGCCGCAGCTCCGCTACCATGAACAACCTACAGGTTCCCTAGCACAAAAGGTCCAATCCTTTTGCGCCCCAGCGCAGCTGTCGTCTTAAAGACTACCAAGGGCCCTCTTGGGCCGGAAACAGCGAGCATTCTCGCACTCCGAAGGTCAGCTCACCTGAGGGGTTGGTTTTACAATAAGGATCAACCTCGGCACCGGAACCGACGACTCGAAATCAGACGGAATCAAGCCCTGAAACTCTCTGCGTTGAATCCATAACCTGCCTAATGGATCCGTGAAGGCAGGAGTGTGGAGGTGCTTCGGTATTCACTCGAACTCCAGGAGGTAAACCGAAACCCTGAATTGAAACCTTAAACCGTAAATCCCGACGTCTTGGCTCTGGAGTTGTACTTGACCCCACCTGCTTCGTACATGTTTGGTCCCAGGGCGGCTTTCCCACAAATCTCGCCTTCCTGTGCAGGGGGATGGCAGGACTTGCGAATTTAAAACTCCTGCGGGACCAACCCTAAACCCGAAAAACTGGGGATTCAATTGCCTCTGTAGTGAAGCAAGATAGAGGCTTCACGTTTCTTCGGGCTTGAGGTGGATTCTTGGGGCAACTTCTACTACAACCCTAAACCCTAAACCCTGAACCCTAAAACCCTAAACTCTAAACCCTAAAACCCTAAACCCTAAACCTTAAACCCCTAAACCCTAAAACCCTAAACCTTAAACTCTATCGGGACTATAACCTTGCGAATTCCTCCGACTCCTGGAAGCCTACACCCCCTAATGCCTTGACGCGGCTCTGCTTCCTACTTAATGTCGTGGCCTTCTTGATTTGAACAGGGTTTTGCGGGGTGCCTTTAAAGGGTTCCTTAAAGGGTTCTGTGAGGGCTACTATAAGGGTTTGGGGCATAGGGGCCTTCATAATTTGAATAGGGTTTTGGGGCGCCCAGGATACTATAAGTATAATAAGGAACGCCCAAACTACTTTTGGCAAGCATCAAGGCCCCCAGACCCTCCAATATCCCCTAATTAAGGAATAGACCTTAAATCATATTAAGAACCTGCTTGAAATTACTTAAAGGACCATGGTACTTAGTAAGTAGGGTTATAACTAAGGTTACTATACCTATAACCCCAATTAGGGGACTTATATCCTAACTTACTACGTCCCATGATCCTCCAAGTATATTATTCCGACTCTTTGCTTCGGGGCTGTATTGTTTCAGGCCTGACCAGGTCGAATCCTCTTCTGACCGATGGGAACCCTTCAGCTCTCCGTGCACAACTGCAACGTCGAACGGAGGGTTTAGGGTTTAGGGTTTAGGGTTTAGGGTTCATGGTTCAGGGTTCAGTAGGGTTTGTGTTGAAGTCTTGGTGGTTGCAGGTCACCCTTAAGCTTGTCGGATTCGACTGTACAGGGCCCATAGAAGACAAACATGCGTCTAGTCTCCTCTAATTCTTCCCAGCCCTGTACTAAGCTTCATGACTTGGTGCGTTACCAGGCCCAAAGCCTGATTCGAAACCCCAAATCCTCAACCCCAGACTATACTGCAGGGGCCTCAATCATTGCCAATACTATTCTGGGGGTTCCTTATTACAATTATAGCATGATGGGCCCCAAAACCCTACTCTAATTACTAAGGCCCCTATGCCCCAAACCCTTCTAGTAGCCCTCATGGGAACCCCCCAAAACCCTGTTCTAATTAGTAAGGCCCCTATCTTAAACCGTTTTGCCCCGACGGTGGGATCCTGGGCAGGGCGCTGGGGTTTAGGGCTCTAGGGTTGAGGGCTTAGGGTTTGGGGTTTAGGGCGTAGTGTGGGTTTAGGGTTTAGGGTTTAAGGTTTAGGGTTTAGGGCTTTGGGTTTAGGGTTTAGGGTTTAGGGTTGAGTTCCGGCGGCAAAATGACAAAGGGAACGCTCTAGGGCGTGCCCACATGTGGCTTGCAAGATCGGATTGCAATGTCTAAAGTCTAAAGGGTGGGTGTGTCAAGAGCAACACATGGGTAGTTCTCTGCATTAGGGTCCCTTTTAGGGTCGGTTTTGATAAGGGTGCAGTACGATATTGGGACCCCAAAAGCCTAAACCCTAAACCATAAACCCATAAACCCTAAACCCCAAACCCTAAACGGAACCCTACTCCAAAGAACTACTCACACGCAGCCCGATGAAGCTTCGACCCTGAGCGCAGGCGCGCGCCATGACGGCCATGCGCGAGTAGAGGAGCGGGGAGGTCGTGTCCTGGATAAACCTGGTTTAAGGCTTAGGGTTGAGGGGTTTGGGGTTTGGGGTTTGGGGTTTAGGGGTTTAGGGTTTAGGGTTTAGGGGTTTCGGGCGGTTTGGGGTTTAGGGGTTTCGGGGGGTTTGGGGTTTAGGGTTTAGGGGGGTCTGGGTTTTAGGGTTTAGGGGTTTAGGGTTTAGGGTTTAGGGTTTAGGGGTTTAGGGGTTTAGGGTTTGGGGGTTTAGGGG